GATCAACAGATTGCCCAATATGTGAATCAGATGCTCAAAGTTCATGCAGAAGGCCTTGCTTGGATAGGCTCAAATTGTCGATTTAGCGAAAAGCTGGAGAATTTTTGCTTACACCATAAAAGTAGGATATAACGACATATAATCCCGATTCCTCCAGCTTTACCTGGAGAAATTATCTTACAGATTAATATATTGAAATTGGGGAGAATGGAGAAAAATACACCTTTTTTAAAAAAAAAATCTACCCTGCTTCACAGCTTTTCCACTACAATGACAAAAATCTACCTACGAAGTAAGAAAACTATTGAAAAATAAAAACAAAAAAATAAACCCACAAAGTTTTCTTTGCCACGTATTCTTTCCTTCCCTCCACAGCATTGTTCCTACTTCGGTGATAACACCACTGGCTCAGCCCCTTTTCGCATTATTCGCCGAACTGCCATAGTCTTTTACCCATCACTGGCTTTATTATGGGTTAGGGTGCCCTTAGTAATACCGACTTATGCCAAGACATTGAACAGTATACACACTATCTCTCCAGTCTATGTAGTAACTCCCATAGTGGATTTGAACCCGCGCCTTGAATTGAATCTTAACTATCTCCACAAGGTTCCCCAAAGATTGTACGCGGTAAAATTACTATTTAAAATTTTAATTCTCTATTTTTACTTTTTGCATGTATATTTTTGCCATTGTTGCAAAAATATTAATTGCTTGGCATATTTTCTCGCTTTTTTATCATTTTTTGTTTTGGAGGCCATTTAATGTATTTTTTTCATTCTCCCTTTAATTTGCTTCGATGTAAATAAATACAAATCTCAATGGAGACTTTTATGAACAGGTGGTAAATTATTTCAGCGACACTTCGATGACAGAGACTTCTACCTACGATAAGCAGCTGGCGTGGAAGCAGCTTGGCCAGCGCAAGGTTGAAACCATTTACTAAACGTTTAGATTGCTTTATAATGACCAATAATTGTAGCTGGCGAGCAAGTCGAATGAGCTGCGCGCACAGACCGAACAGGAATGCACCTTTTCGCCAAAGGTTCTTTTTATCAGGATACTGCTCCAAGATGGAAATAATTACACAACGTATCTTTGTTTGGGCATTTTGGTAGACTAACACGCGGTCAATGAGGACGAAAACCGATGAAATTACGCAGACAACTCCACTTACCGCTGCAGAGATAGAAGCTGTGCTGCTACACCCAACCGAATCACAGGAAAGTTCGATCAACCTACATTTGGCTCGCCAGGAAAAAGCTAGAGTACATGCTCACGACGTGCAACAAAAGTACGTAGTACTTTGACGATGAAAATTGTGTTTGAGTCGATAATATATGCAGAGTGCAGACTTAATGGAGTGCAGAACAGTAAAGATTACACGAAGTGTACGACAGTTGAGCCGTTCGCACTCAGCTCGACAAACTGGGTGAGATGAGGCAGCCATGCAGAGTGTCTATATGTCAATAACGAAATTACTGTGTAGAAACCACGTCAAAGCACTATTGATCTGTTGGACCATTCTACTGGAGGCGATGATGGACAAATGAAGCTCACAAACATTGCAAAAGGAGGTACACTTAAGGCCAAGGCACAACCTGCCACCGCTCGGGGAGCAGGTAAATCATTACGGGGCTTACAAGTGTCTTGCGGTGCTACTACAGATGACGAGGCATGGGAGAGGTACGTTCTTTCGTGCAGTCAGACGTCTGAAAAAATTACAAACCGAATACATTGCAGTGAGCGGGCAACACTGATCTCCATCATTGAAGCTCAGCAACGGGAATTGGCACTTCGCGAGCAAGCGCAACAGGAAGCCGTGCGTGTAGCTGAGCGCTTTGCAGCTGCGACAGAGGCCTTCGAGGAGCGCTTAGTGACTGTGGAACAATCTGCAGCCAAGGAGCTTGAAGAAGTGAAACGTCTTCTTGCTGGCCAAGCAGCCGCTACCGATCTCATTTTAACATCATTAGGAATAACGCGACGCTGAGACTATAGCAGATACGTCTGAACAATTTTCGTACCCTACAAAAGAACGCAATCTCTTTCGCAAAGAATTAGCGGAAGCACTGATGTATTCTAAATTATACAGATTGGAATTTCTAAAGTTGGCAAGTACCTTGTATCATGATGCTCCGGTATATAAAAACACGTCCGGCGATCATGTTTGTCTCCACAAGATAATTTTAAGTGAATTTTGCAAGTGTGTCTATCAGCTTGCGATCGCCGTAGTCAATGCACTCAGATTTTTTCTACTGAGCATAGATTTGTCGCTCTCAGCATCATTTGCTGGCTCAACTCCGAACAAACCAAAAAGTTTCGTCCAGATTACGATCCCTCCATTAAAATCGTAAAGCTTACCGCCAGATATGTAAGAAGTTTATGTGCCACCAATTCTTGCTTGCTGAAAAGGCTTGCTAAGATAAGGTCTGCTTGATGAACCAAACATTGTTAATAAATCTTTGACAAGCCTTGTCGTACGTAGACACAAACCAATGTATACATGCATCGATACAGCTTCGTGTTGGCCTCGCTCAGAATCTGTTACAAATTCGAGGAGCATATATGCGCATCAAAATTCGAGTTTCATACAATCTCGGAAAATGCTGTCGGTGCACTCTGGGTCCGACAATACCAACTATGCTAGCTCAACAAACAATTTACGTCAAGTATTCTGCTTATTTGTAGCTCAATGCCAGAAATATTGGTAAACCTCATTCACTAGTTCAAATTTTGAGAATACACCACTTGCTTCTGCATGGCCGTGATACTAGATAATTGAATTAATGAAGGCTAGTTTTGTACAAGTGTATAAGTGTACAAGTGTACAAGTGTACAAGTGTACACGTTCCAATTATTTTGTGGAGTGGGAACCAGCATCGATTTCTCCGTCAAAGGAAGATATTAATTAAACATCTCATGGTTGAAGATGAAATGGTAGCGTGGTCAGTCATACGAAATGAGCAAGTTTCGCCATAAGAAATGAAATTGGCGTAAGTGTCACAAGAAATATCAACGCTTTTTAATTTCAATTAAAACCTCAAATGTCGATAAGTCTCATAAGCTTGCATTAATTGAGTGCAGCTTCTGACCACGAAACGAGCACCATAAAGACCAAGTTGTGATGCTTCTGCGGCAGAAGCAACAGCGGGAAAAGAATGAAATCTATATATGTCGCAGATTAAATTCCTTCGTGACTTTGGCCGCGATAGTAGCAGTACGCCTATATGCTCGAAGAACGTGTCCGGCATGGATTGAAGGGTCATTCAAAACCTTCCTCGATACTGAAGCCAAGTAATTAAATTTGCATTTTAGAGTTTTGTATGTGGAAAGTAGAACAACGAGAATGCTGCTTTAAAAACGGAATAAATTCCAAGTATCGTTGCTTAGAAAAACGTACCAGGAAGCTGGACTTACAGAGCTTAAAGCATGGAGACGATGCAGTTGAAAATGTATTTGCCATGGGTTTAAGTCCACATATTATAGACATAGACGTTGTCTCCCTGCCTGGTCGGCGTCCATATTACCAGCTACAACGTCGTACAGCATTCGCCTTGTCGAATGTTATTACTACAAAAAGGTGTTAGTAGACAAACACTATGAAGACCAAATACGGTGGGTTAAAGGGGCTGCACGACATCTCTATTGGTCGGCACATGAAGATTTTTCAATTACCAAAACGTTTCAAACACGAGAAGATTTAAGGCAACAGATGTCGCAGGTATTCGCATCGCCGAACCTGGTCAGCTTTTGTCCTCTCGGTAAGGGGAAAGAGGACTGGCAGACTATGTCTGGGCTTAATCTGTTACCACCTCGCCCCTTATGGAGGCTGTAACGGAATATGTCTTCATGGGGGTTTTGCAAACAAATGCGGCTCCATCTCCTGTCCAGCTACACCTTTCGAAGAAGAGGTTAGCGTCGCATTTAATGCGGGTGTTTGTACCACATGAGTCGGATATCGTACTGGTCATGTCCGCTCTACGAGCACGCCAGGGACGACGGTCCTCAGCCATGTCGAGGGGAAAAAGAATAATATCTTAGCTGCTAAGCAGCTACGCGAAGCTTGTAGGTATCTCCTTTGCGGTAGCACAAAACGCTGTGCCACATAAGATGTATTTGCTCTCAATTGCGAGGTAAGAAGGGTCTTGCTCATTACGACGATCCTCTCACAGGGAAAGTCGAGTCCAAGTAGGCACAAAGCAGCTCACAGTGTAAGGACTGAGTATTATTGGACCCCGTTGGGGTCGTGGTCAGTGGGCCTTACAGCCTGGAGTTCCTGGTTGTTGATTTAAACGTTATAAACCAATAAAAATCCCTGATAGATTTATAAGCGGTGCGCATTCATGGACGACGCAGAACTGCCAAAACAGAAGAGAGTACGCAGAGACAATAAATATACCATATACAAATACTACCTACGTGCGTCTTACAACGGACATAATAGTTAAAGCCTGTCAAATAGTGTGTTAAGCCTTTGACACCCTGAGGCGTTCTCAATTCTTCCAAGATACGATATCGTTTTGAGTATTGCGTTGCCGAAACGCCACGATCCATGGGTCAACTACATCAAAAAAGTTAGGTGTCCCTCACTTCTCTGCTGGTAGATTATGGCGATTCACGATCCCACCTCGGCCAAGTAGCAGAAGCCATTCGAAACGGACACAAGGTTGCGAAAACAGACGCAAGATCTATTCTAAA